TGGAGGCTCAGCAGGCTAAGATGGTCAGCCAGTTCCACGCCATGGTGCAGTTCCACTGGAACAAGGTCCTCCTCCAGCTCTTCATCACCAGTGGCATTTCCATCCAGCCTTCGCCCAAAGCCCCACACCAGGAGGCCAAGGTAGACCCAAAGTTAGAATTTCTGCCCCCTCTGACTCACGCAAAGAAGACCGCGAAGTGGGGGGGGGGGAGTCTCTGCAGCAACACAAATGTTCATTGCATGTAACTGGCCCGGGGGCAGTAGTTTGCGGACCCCTGATTTAGCACAATATAAAAAATGCAAATAATTTTTCTAAGGACCATCAACATTTTCTTGTGGACCAACAGTGGTTCATGGGCCACCAGTTGGCAACTGCTGCTTTAAGACANTCCGATTTAAACGTTATTCATCAAATTATTTACCATATTTTTCAGAGTATAAGATGCTCCAGAGTAGAAGATGCACATTAGTTTTGGGGGAGGAAAACAAGAAAAAAAAATCTGCCTCTGCCTACCAGCATCCATCAGTATTCATCCGGCTACTATCCTTCCAGTAAACAACTTGGCCAGCTTCAGCACGTTATTGCAACCTGATTCAGCACGAGCAGCTGATTGTTGTTTGGATCAGCTATTCCAGGCTATGGGGATTGCCACATTTTGGCCTCTGTGCATCACATTTTTGGCCTCATGCTCCATTTTAGACTTGTTCCAGGCTGCGGCAATTGCCACACCACATCACCGCCGATCGCCACCTCCATTCATCACTTTTTCAGCTTTCACACATCTTGTTTTCGGCCTCTGCATGCCCCGTTTTTTGCATGTACATGTCGCATTTTCAGCCAGTTCCAGGCAGCGAGGATTGGCGCCAGTGTGCTGTGGCGATTCCCGTAGACCTGGAACAGGTCTAAAACGGAGTATGTGGAGGCCAAAAATGCAATGCGCTGAGGCCCAAAACAGCTGGGGGGGGCGCAGCTTTGGCAACATTTGATGTATAAGATGCACCACAATTTTCACCCACTTTTGGAGGGGGAAAGTATGTGTTATATTCCGAAAAGTACAGTATACCTTTATTTATTAATGAAAGGTACAGATTACACATACCTCTTTTTGATTTAAAGGGCCTCATCAAATGCTAACTCAAAGTCTAAGGGAAGAGCTAGGTTTTTAATGCTCACATAAGAGCATAACTAAGGTGGGACCCATATGATTTCTGGTGGGGTAGATGCTGTTCCAGAGGCAGGTGCAGCAGGAGAGCAAGCTCACTTCCTGCGCCCAGGTTAAATCACCAGAATCCAAATCAAGTTACATTGTATTATATGAGAATGAAGGAAAGGCAAGATGTTAAAAGAGAGAATAAACTCAATGGCCATTTATGTAAGGCCTCAAGAACATATAATTCTTAAAATGCTGTGTATTTATACATGCAGTGAAAACTCTGGAATGCCTGTGGAATGAACTCAAGTGAAAAACAAAGCACTCGACCCTGTATCATATCTCCTCACCCCAATATATTAGTATTTAAAATTAATTTTTATTTGATCACTTTATAGGGTTCACTTTTCAGACCTTAGGGACCACTAAATTCATAATTTAAAATCCCCCGGACCACTAATATGATCTGCCTAATGACCAGCTGTGTGGTCGTGGCCAACTTGATGTTACTCACATCTTCACACTTCCCTCCCAGCCACTCCTCACCCAGGCTCCTTAGGGCCCCAACAGGAAGCAGTTGTTGGAGCTAAGCAGCTACCATGAGAAAGAGTTGGCAAAACAGCTCAGTTCAAATTGGATTTGATCAAGGAGGCTCAGTAGAAGCACTTCAGTGAGGATAGGTTTTCCAAGCAGATGGAAGACTTGCGGGAGTGCAAGGCCAGGTACTGGCACCTGGAGGCTCAGCAGGCTAAGATGGTCAGCCAGTTCCACGCCATGGTGCAGTTCCACTGGAACAAGGTCCTCCTCCAGCTCTTCATCACCAGTGGCATTTCCATCCAGCCTTCGCCCAAAGCCCCACACCAGGAGGCCAAGGTAGACCCAAAGTTAGAATTTCTGCCCCCTCTGACTCACGCAAAGAAGACCGCGAAGTGGGGGGGGGGGAGTCTCTGCAGCAACACAAATGTTCATTGCATGTAACTGGCCCGGGGGCAGTAGTTTGCGGACCCCTGATTTAGCACAATATAAAAAATGCAAATAATTTTTCTAAGGACCATCAACATTTTCTTGTGGACCAACAGTGGTTCATGGGCCACCAGTTGGCAACTGCTGCTTTAAGACAAGACAGTCTCTGCTGAGGCAGAAATAAAACAGACACAAGTTCAAGTATAGACTGTAATTGTAGATAATAGATAGAAGGTTGAGTTTTCTATTTTTTTAAAGCACAATTCACCTTAAAATAAGCTGAATGTGGAGGATGCATGTAGCGCCTCTAGTTGTAAATATGGATAAACCTATCCTTCGTACATCTATCTAAGAGAAATGAAGGCAGCTATATTGTGGGGAATCTCATCTCTTAAAAACTGAAGAAAATGCTAGCTCTGAAGACATCCACACTGGTTTCTTGGTTGCAGCTGCAAAACAGTGATGTTGCTTCTGAAACTGATCCTCAAGTTGATTAGCGGTACTTGGTGGCCTTTCAGCCTTTCTTCAATATGCCACCCTCTGGCTGTGTTAGATTTGTGTTTTCTGTAATTTCAATTATTAAAATCTGTACATCTGGACAGGGCACATCTGGTAATAGACAACCACCAGAAATTACACTAAATGTAGTTGTTCCTACCCTGAGAATGGTTGTTGGTTTTGATTAAGCATGAAAAATCTAATATAATCTTTAACTTATTTTCTTTCCCAAAGTAGCCAAGTAGATGATTCTACAGAGCCCAGAAACATTTGATCCCTTCACTATTGTAGCATTTGTGGATAATCCTATTCTGGGTGAACTGCTCTATTTGTCACTTTAAATAATTTTAAGTTATTACAATTCATTGACTATATGTACAGACTGCCAGCCAGCTATTCAGAATTGGAAGACTGAAGATGGGTGAATCTATATTGTCCTAGATATGCAAGGTCATGCCAGGGAAGCTACTGAAATTTTATGTTGACATTTTTTTAATGCTTCAATGCTTCCACTCTACTTTACATTGTCACACTATTTTGGAAATGCAATAATTAATGCATGCATAATATGCATTGAGAATTAAGCCATTAACTAATGATTTGACAGAGGAAATGACTGAATCCATTCCTGGAAACCTCAGCTACTCAACACTGATTCTGCTTTGAGTTTGGCTACTATAAAGGGATGTAGCCCATTTTAGTTTTCACCTAATTGTAGCTATTTCTGCATTGCAATAGAAATAACATTAGAATTAGTGTTTAAGACAGTTTATTGCACATCCATTGACATCTAATGGAAGGTGTTCAGGGATTAACTGTAACCCATAGTACTATATTCCAGCAGATAAAGTTTATCTTATCTTCATATACAATTGCTGATTAGATTACAGTAATTTTTATATTTTGTATTGCATTTTAACTTAAGTTGTGTAAGCTACCTAGAGACCATCTACTCTTAGCAGTAGATAAATCTATTAAACACAGCTTAAACAGTCAAAATCATATATTGGAACAGATATTTTACTGGACCTATTATCTTAACAGCCTTCTCCACCTTAAGAATTCTGAAAGGGTTGATACATACTGCCCAAATACCCCAACACACATGGTGGATTCCAAATTGGAGAAGTTGTTCAAAAATTGCAACAGTAATCCCGATTCACGGTTTTTACCCTACCCTACAACAGTATTGAGATGAAGGAAATTCTATCAATACAAACTGATTTAAAACCAGCTCATCTTCCTTGAATTAGATTAGAAAATTAGAAAAATGGTCCTTGTCCAGCAGTATTATTTCCCAAATTGGTAAAAGCAACCTACATATTTTCCCTGCACTAATATAACATTACTTGGAATTATTAATATTGTTAATATTGTATTAACTGTATTGTATTAATAGTATCAATATTATTTGGATATTCTGTTAAATAACAATTTGGTTATTTAACAGAATAACAATTGGAAGGAACCTTGGAAGTCTTTACCAAAGACATTCTCCTGTATTTGCAGGTAGGTCAGTTGCACCCATTAAAATTTAAATGGTTTTTTATATTTTAAGATGGTAACATTCTACTTTTATCACATTTATGTCTTTCCTGACAACTGAATCTGACTAGGCCACTTGGTTTTAATCATAAGGAACTCCAAATTTATGCAACATTTGAGGTGCTAATAGCTACAAAAACACATATCTCTGCAGAATATAACAACTCTTTTATTTGGTCTTAACAAGGACAAGTGGCTTGCAAGGCAGCTGGCTGGCTGGCAGAAGGCAGTGGGTGAGGAGGGTGGGAATGATTTACAGGAGCAATTTGTGACCTTCCCTCCTGACATCCACATAGATTTTGTTTCTGGGAAGTCAGCAGGAAAGATTTCAGATGGTAATCATGCAATCACAGGACATAGTTAAGTTCAAGCCAGTTGCCAAGTACTCAAATTGCAATCACATGATCATGGGGATGCTGAGATGGCCAGAACTTTGAGGACCGGTTGCAAGTACCATTCCATTCAGTGCATCATAACTTTAAACAAACACTGACAAGTGCTCATTAAATAGAGATTGCCTGTACTGGGATGTTCATTTTGTCTTAAGAATATATCAAGAGAAAAGAACATCAATACTGGTAGATCAAATTCCCATTTTTCACTACCATGCAGAGGTAATATTCTCCAATACAGTACGACAGATCCAAGTTTTTGAACAACCTTCAAATAAACATTCTAAACTTTCCAATTATGAAAACCAGGGCAATTAATGATAATAATGAACCAAATTAATAAACAGATCACGGCTTACATTAATCCCTAAATATCTCAGAAATAATACATTGATTTCTGGGCCTTTCTAATTTCAATTTATTTCTGTGCTAAAGAACAAAATAAAACTAAGTGTTATTACTATGATGTTACCTAATCTGGGTAATGAAATATCTGCAAGAAAACAACCAAGTTAAGACAGCACCAATGACCCCTCATTTCAATGACCCTACAAATATTTTTTTATTTTTATTGGTAGCTTGAAATATACATCATATAGGTTAAAAAACCTGTAACTAAGGAGGGAATGCTTAACATTTCCAGTGAGCACAGAAAAATAAGGGGAAGATGACACTAATAAGCCAATCTGGTATAGTGGTTGAGATTCAAGTTAGAAACTGGTAAACTACCAGTTTCTAGCTTTACCAGAGTTCTAGTTCCACTTTCGGTATGAAGCAACTAGGTGACATTGGGTCAGTTTCTGTCTCAGTCCTAAGGAGGCAGCAGCGGCAACCACTTCTGAAAAAACTTGGCAAGAAAATTGCAGTGACTAGAGAGGCAGTTAACAAGTCTCAAAACCTGACTTTAAGGCAACCCTCCCGATTTGTACACTATATTGCAACAGTAATAACTATAAAATGAGAAACTCTCCAGGCACTTTTAACACTGAAAGAAATCTACAGAAGTGGAAGTAGCAAGGTAATGGCAAAATAGGATAGATCATAATGGATATTTCTCATTCACTATCAGAAGTGAATTTTGCCTGAATCAATCTAATGTTTAACACTATCTACTGAATAAATTTACACTGACACAAACATTTGAGTCACTGATTTAATTTCATACAAGTCAAACTACACATTGTATAAAGATTATAAGATTGTACTAGTATTGTTTTACTAAACTTATTGATTACATGTAAGTTTGGTGATTGGATTTCACCTCACATATACTTATTTTAGATTAACTGGAGCCCTAATCCTAACAGTTTAGAATTTTTCACTAGTAGAAAACTAGGGAAATAATTACCCCTTCTACTGTAGCCATCCATGTATTCAAAATCTGTGAAAAGAATGTAATGGACTATAGCAGAAGAGAAAGAACAAATATATTACTTGAGTGGATTTCTGCTTGTACAACGGGGGATTTCATGCAGGAACACTGGGTTCCAAAAAGTTATTAAATTTAGACCAAGTATTTTTTCCCCCCCAGAAAAAAGCAACTGGAAAATTAATGAAGAAATTGGGAATTGTTATCTGGAATTCTTATCAAATGATTTAAACACTTATTGGTTTAAAGGTGTTAGGCAAAACTATACCATGCAGTTAGGAATAGCCATTTTTATTAAGTGATATTGCCATAACACAACGAAAAAGAGATTACTTTTGGCAACTTATGGTATAGCACAATGAAATATTCCAATTTTCACTCACGGATTAGCTTTACAAGCATCTCTGATTTGTTCAATACAGCTCTTCTATGCTTTTAGAAGAAAGCCATAATTCATAAAACTAACCTTCATTAATTTTAAAATAATGGAAACATTTAGGGAATATTACCATTTCCAAAATCTTCACACTCAAAGTTGTTTATAAAACTCATTTTTCACTCCCCAGCATATTACTTCAGCTGTGGCTCCAATAAAAAAAAGCCTGTCTTAATTTCTATACCCAAAAGAAAAAAAATCTTTTTTACTGATATTCCTGTACACATCTCAGAAAGCTTTAAGTACTTCAAATCTTTTATCTTGTTTACTTGGTGAACAAGACCATGCTTTTCTGAAATCAAACAGGTAACCAAATACTAATATTAAAAAAAGACTTCTGGCTGCCCATACAATGTTCCATAATCGCATAAAAGCTCCAATCTTAATCTTGTGAACTGGATCTTGACCGTGAACGGGATTTTGAACGTGACTTTGAATGAGATCGTGACACATCTCTTTTGGATGGAGACTCAGAATGAGCCTTTGCAGGTTGATGCTGCTCTGGAGAACGGGAATGAGATCTGCTTTGTGACCTTGATTTAGACTTTGTTTCTCCTTTTCCATTTTCTTTAGGTGAACGAGACGCAGACCTGGATCTGCTCCGAGACTTTTCTTTGGATCTGCTGCCTGATCGTGAACCTCTGCTAGATTTCACTTTTGACTTGCTCTTTGATCTAGATTTTCGACTTTTTGATCTGGAACGTGATCGGTCTTTACTCCGAGACCTAGATTTAGAGCTAAAAAAAGGCCAACCTTAAATTATGCTTATTTTAAAAGGTATTATTAAATATATCTAATATACGTTCAATGGTAAAACTCCCAATATAAAACATGCCCTCACCGTGATCGGCTTTTTGAGGCACTACGGGATCTACTCCGACTGCTGCGACGACTTCGACTGCGTGATCGTCTTCTGGAACGGGATCTAAAGAGAGTATATTCCAAATAAGCATTGTGAGGGAATCAAAAATTCTTTCTCTTCATTATACAGTGTAAGTACATAAATACTTTTTCCAAAAGTGGTATTACCCACACAGTGTATTAATCATCAAAATGTCTTTATTACACAGATGAATAGCGTTCCAGTCCATGCTTGGGAAAAACAAACTATGCAAAAAACCTATTCCCTGAACAAATTTCTAGTGCAGGGGTGCCAAACTTGATTTCTTTGGGGGCTGCATCAAGGTTGTTTGACTTGGGGGGGAGCTTGATGTCACTCATGTCGGGGGCGCCTGTGGGGCCCAAGCACTCTACCAGCAGAAATGGAGCTCGCGGCCCTTCCGAGTTTAATTTTTGTTGGCAGAGCCACCAAAGGGCCAGTCTTTTCCTGTTTCCAGGGTGACCCCTGGCTGGATGTGGCCCCCAGGCCTTGAGTTTGACACCCCTGTTCTAGTATATGTATTAGAAACAAGTGAAAGATTACACCTGTGATTTTAAAACAACAAAATGTATAGTTTAGTCCTGAAGGAGTTTTCATATTAAATAAACACCAATTATATAAATACCTTGATCTGCTGCCGGAGTAAGATCGTCTATGGCTCGATCGTGGCTTATCTTCAACTAGCCTGATTTTTCGTCCATTTATCTCTGTACCATCCAATTTATCCATAGCACGTTTCATGTCAGAGTAAGAACGGAATTCTATTACTCCTTCATTTGTTCGCTCTTTATGGGCATCTGCATAGGTTACCTCACCTGCTTGCCTCATGAAATCCTTAAATAAATGGAAACCTTATTTAGTCAAAATTTAAAATTCCGTGAACTCAGAAACTTTTCTGTATTTTATAGGTTATACCAAAAATGACATTAAAATTGGCCTTTTAGAAAGTATTTTTATATTAACTTACTTTCAAATCTTGCCAACTACAGTGACTGGAAAGATTTTCAACAATTAATCTGTATTCTGTACGAACAGGTGGCCCATATTTATCTCTTCCTGATGCTCTCCGACTGGTATATCCTCCACCACCTTTATCATACAAAAATACAAGTTAGTGACCTTATAAGAAAAGCAAGTAGATCAGTTCACTCTAGTCTATAAATTGTATTTACAGGAGTAGGACTTTACTTTTCTAATCCTTCAACAAAATTTTAATTCGCCATATTCTATATATTAAAGGCAAATCAAAGTCTAAAATCCTACAAGACTGTGCTCCTAAACTCTGTTAGAGAGTGACTGCACCTTTATTAGATTTACCTCGCTAAGTTTTATTTTACAGAACATTGTAAAATATAAAACTTAACTGATTACATGCATTTCTACATTTACAAAAACGTTTACTAGATTACACTAAGTACTTACATCACAGTATGAGGTATATGGTGGTGGTTTGGCCACAACACACGCAAGGTAACAGTCACCTAGTTCAGTTTAACCAGTTTTGTCTAACCCTTGGAATCCTCACCATCACCCTGCGTCTAATGGCAAAAGGCTGCTGTCGTCATGGCTTCCGGTAAGGTCAGCCAAAGGGTCATAGGGCAAGGGTCACACAATGTATGGAAAAGCCATGGCCAATCAGGAAAGGCAGTCATCTTAGCCTCAGTGGACACAGCCTCAGCCCCACTGGTCACTTTTAAATTGAAACATCAAGGACTTGTTAAAAAATTTGAATTGAACATGCAACAACTTCAAAAAAACATACAAATTTGCAAGAAATCCCATCCCCCAACGCGCCCCGAACCAAAATAGGTCTACCTTACTGCTCTTAACCATTATAAAAAATTCCACCAATGCAGCCAATTTTTTTTCTAGGAAAGATTAAATTAAATGGCTGTTGCATTAGTCAGTTGGTTATTTTGTCTCAATAATTAACATGGCTGCCTTCTATTAAAGGGAACCATCTCTCTTCCAATTTCTAAGCAAATACTCACGTTAAGGCATAGCCTAATTTATTTATAAGAGCTGCAACCACTTTAAGTAACAGCTTTAGGTGGTGGAAAAACTTCCCAATTGCTTCACTGTTTCTTTAGAAGCTTTGTGCCAAATGTGTTTAATTAAGAGCAGTGAGTATTGTATATATAACTCCCAATATCCGCGCACCCCCCTGTGGTTCTGCACTTATGAGTGCCATTTGCACCGAGAATGCCCCAATCCCCGTCAAGAAAACTTCAGCTTTAAATCCCGAGGAAGGGGTGGGGATTTAGCCTCCCTTCGGATAGCATGGATGGGTTAACCACACCACCCCTCTTTCCAAATTAAAGTCCAAGAATCCTCCTCTACCAGAGCTCCCCCCTCCCCACGCCCTCCGCGTTCATGGCCACCCCGCTCGCCCCACTTGCGCTCCTCCTCTTCCCGGCGACCCCATCGCTGTCCCCGCGCGCCTAAGGAGGCCGCAGCGGAGCCACACTCACTGCGGCTGCTGTAGCTGTAGCCATCCCGGTCGCGGCGGGGGCCGCGGGCGTGTTCGACGATCACCCGCTCCCCGCACAGATCCTTGCCGTTCAGCTCGTAAACGGCATCCTCGGCGTCGCGGGAATCCTCGAATTCCACAAAGCCGTAGCTGCAGGAAGGAGGGCGTGGCGGTTAAGGAAAGCAAGAGAGAAGAGGCGCTTTCAAGGCCCAGGGGCGACCGAGCGTCACATTCATTTCACGCTTACCACCACCACCACCAAGAATCCGGCGCCGCCGCCGCCGCCTCGTGCGACCGCGGTAACGAGTTACGAGGAGAAGGGTGCCTATTCGCACGGCTGCGATAAGGCTCCGCTCCATCCGACCCCGCGCCCGCTAACGGGACAAAAGAGACGAAGCTGCACTCGGCCGCCATCTTGAACACGACGCCACGAGGCCCGAGAGGAGGCCCCGGCAGACCTGCCCCGCGGTCGGGCAATCTTTTAACCGCTAGCGGTTCGCGCCGAACAGTAACTCTTCCGGCCTCCAAAAGAAACCTGCCAAGGCCTAACTTTCCCCATCCACCCCGCTTCACCCAGGAGCCACCGAAAGAATTCCGCCAAGGCCTTAACTTCCCCTTCGGCCTCCTCACCCGTTTTTTAAGTCGACCTCGAGCAAGCGGCCGTAGCCGCTGAAGAAACGCTGGATGTCCTTTTCCCGCACATGGTAACTTAAGCGGCCAATATAGACACGCGGCATCCCCGCGACCTAGAAAAGGAAAGAGGAGGGGGAAGGGGAGGGGGGAAAAGGATAGATGTAAGAGCTGAAAACAAGTTGCGGGAACAACGGTCCTGAGAACCGCTGATGGTTACGGCCTGTTCCGTAGCGTAATGAAGGCCGGCCCCCCACCCGGGCAGGCTTTTATATCGGTGGGCGGAGTCTCAGAGGACCGTACGCCGCTATTAGCGTCGTTCGGAGACGTCACGGGGGAACCTCGAGATCTGATAGGAAGGGAGGAATGTCAAGAAACTCCACGCGTTCAACGTGTCCCGCCCTCCTCTAAAACGTTTCCGACTTAGATCGTGCTTAGTGTCAGATATAATTAAGCTTAGTTTGAAAAGCGAGGCTTGTTGAATCATTTATGATTGCTGGGGTCGCACAATAGGTTGTCATAACTCAGCCTGTTTTGTAGTGGTAAGATTTAAGCCCGGAGAAACTCGGCCATGAAAGTTTGGTCCGTGACTTTGGGACAGTCGTACTTTTTCAACTCACATATCCATCTAAATCACACACACCCCAAACTTGGCAACTTTAAAGCTTGCAGACTTCAACTCCCAGAATTCTCCAGCAGCTGGCTGGAGTATTCTGGAAGTTGAAGTCCACAAGTCTTAAAGTTGCCAAGTTTGAAGACCTCTGATCTAAATTGTACAGGTTACAAACAAATGTTGCAAAAACCCCAACAGGATGTCAGGGTACAAACCCTGGCCTCTGGTGATCCCTTGTGAACCTACATTGCTTTGGAGAAGAAAATGTTATATATGTGCGCTTTTGCAGGGAAGGTGGGATATTTACCTTAAGTATATTAGCAATGTGTTTGTCACAACCTGCTAAGCTAACATCAACCAACCAGTTTTATTTATTTAAAACGTTTATATAGCTGCATAACCACTAATCAACTCAGGGAGGCTTCCAGTCAAAAGTTAAAACAACATATAAAAACCAGGTTAGAAATAAATACTAAAACATTAAAGCATTAAAATTTTGCATGATGTAAATGGCCGTCAAATGGCCCATTTTGCATGCTGTATAAGGCTCCTGGTATTATATTTTGTGTGTCTGTTTGTGTACATTCATGCCTTCAAGACAGTCTTGATTCCTAGTAATTAGTGTGGGAAGCCTCTCCTGCCCAAGAATGAAATACTTTGGGGAATATTAAAAAGACAGGGTAGAATATTTCCCCTAACTGGATATTTCTTCCAACACTAGTCCAGTCAGTTTTCTCAGCAGAATTTTCATAAGTGAGTTGTCATTTACTCTTTCCTAGAGCTGAGAGAGAATGACTAGTTCAGAATCACCCAGATGGATTTATGCATAAGGCAGGACTATAACTCACAGTCTCTGGTTTTTTTATACACTTCTGTTTAACTGGAGCTTTCCAAAAATTTTCCTTCATTACCCTAAAACACTTATCAGAAAGCCTTTTGTTACTCAGTGTAGATAAAATACTAGCTAGACAGAAAAACAGGTTGTTATTACCCAAACCAAAACTATTTTTACCAATTTTTTTAACCCAAATAATTTGCCCAGATTTAGGAAGCACTACTTTAATTACTTTAATTATCATCATTGATATAGGGGAATATAAACCATGAGAGCCAGTTTAGTGTAGTAACTAACCTTTTTCGGACCAAGTAGTGTACTAACCTTTTCCAGACCGAGTGCCCAAAGTCCGTGTGCCCAAATTCCCCAAATGCAATGTGTGCATGACCCCGCACATGTCCCTCCATGCATGCGCGCACCCCCTGCATGCGGCCTGCCCCCCACATGTGCAGCAGAGACCCGAAGACTAGCTGGCCAGTGGGAGGCACATGCACATGCACAGCGGACCTGACCTTGGGCAACGGCTTGCGTACCCACAGAGACGATAAGGAAATAGAATTCTTTATAGAATTCTTCATGGAAACAGACAATGGCAATTAAAATCTAAGCCTTGGACTTCTCTCCAGGTCTTCTACTTGGTATGCAACATGGTCAAGCCAAATCACTTATTAAACAGTGTGTAGCAAACTTAGTGCGCCAACTGCTTCTAGCCAGAACCGCTTTAGTGCCAGTGACGCCAACAGGTACTCTACTTCTTTATGGTATGTTAAGAAAACTCAAAGTTCCTATATATTGGAGGGCCTTTACTCTGCAATGATGTCATGTCCTTTCCTCGTTCTTGAAAGCTGCTTCAGGAAGATCTCTTACCTAAAGAGGTAATGCTCCTGTGATTCTGGACACCTAGAAATTACAGGCTATGTATTTTCCAGTACGTATACTACAGAGAAATTTGTATTAGCTTAATCACCATTATTGAATAAATACTCAGCTTGCACAGGATAATTCTACATCTGCTTTCAGATACCAACCCTGCTACACTGTAACAGTGTTCCCATGTTGTGCTACTATGATCTGAACCATACACTAGTTTTGAGTCTAGTCAGATTTAAAGAGCATCTCTTTTGCCATTATTAGAGTGCTCTGTACAGTAATTTGATACATAGTGTTCCACATAAAATCTTTATGCTCCCCTATACCCATCTAGTGCTTCTACCTCCTTTTAGTTTCTTTTAGACTCTTTACACACACACACAAACACAAACACACACTTTTTGTTTTAATATACATGTATATCTTCTTGTTTTCATAATATTTTCAGACTCTAATGCCTAAAAGGAAATCTCTTTATGCTGATCGATATCTATAAAAAAGATTTGACTTGATTTGGCCCAAATTATCTGTTGAATTTGGATCTTTCTATATCAACTAAGTTGGTCACCAGTGGTTTTGTCATTGAGGTTTTAAACTTGTACTGGAGCCCATCTTCAGAAAACTGCTCTCTAGCAGATAATAGAATAAAATAGAATAGAATAACAGAGTTGGAAGGAACCTTGGAGGTCTTCTAGTCTAACCCCCTGCTTCGGACAAATGGTTATCCAATCTCTTCTTAAAAACTTCCAGTTTTTGGAGTATTTACAATTACTGGAGGCAAGTTGTTCCACTGATTAATTGTTCTAACTGTCAGGAAATTTCTCCTTAGTTCTAAGTTCTCTCCTTGATTAGCTGATTCGTTGATTAGTTTACTCCCACTGCTTCTTGTCAAGAATAGCTTGATTCCCTCTTCTTTGTGGCAGTCCCTGCGATATTGGAACACTGCTATTATGTTACCCTGTGTCCCTAGAGTGTGTGCTTGGGGCTCTTTTGTGTATGGTATTTATACGGGGCCTTTTGTATGTGGCTTTTTAGATGTGGTTTGAGGTATTGATGGCTATTAAGTCGCTGGCTGTTTGCTTCTGCTGTCCAAGCCAGAGGTGGTATTCAGCAGCTTCTGACCAGTTCTGGAGAACTGGTAGCGGAAATTTTGAGTAGTTTAGAGAACTGGTAAATACCATATCTGGCCCCATCTATTCACCCCCATCTATTCTCTGCCTCCTAAGTCCCAGCTGATCAAAAAGAAATAGGGATTTTGCAGTGACTTTCCCCTAGAGTGGGGTGGGAATGGAGATTTTGCAGTAACCTTCCCCTGGAGTGGGGAGGGAATGGAGATTTTACAGTATACTTCCCTTGCCATCCGCACAAAGCCATGCCCACCAAGCCATGCGATGCCCACCAAGCCATGCCATGCCCACCAAGCCATGCCACACCCACCAAGCCATGCCATGCCCACCAAACTATGTCCACAGAACTGGTAGTAAACATTTTTGAATCCCACCACTGTGCCAAGTTCTCGCCTCCTAAGTGTTTGATAAGCAGGTGGTAAATCAGCACTCCTGTTGACTGATCATTTCCAAGGCTTCAATCACTTCTTTGGAGGTTTTTGTACCTGCTTACCCAACAATCTTAGTAGCAAAATTAAATGTATGTCATTGTTGATTGCAGTGTGAGGCTACCAATGGGTTTGGGTCTCTTCGTCTGACCACTCGCTTATCTTCTTGGAATCTGATGGTCTGTCCTGCAAACAATACTCTAAGCAAGGATCACCAATGAGGGACCCCCCCACCAAAAAAACCTTGGCAAGGCAAGGTTTACATATAAACCTTGCCTTGCC